AAATTCATCTCACCTAATTTGGTCACGTTATCAGAAGGAACCAATCCTTGGAGAAGGGTGTCGTGCTTGGTAAGGTGGAGGGTCAACTAAAGAGGGGAAGGCCCTCAAGAAGATGGAGTGACAAGGTGGCTATGGAGATGGGCTCAAGTATAGCAGGGATTGTGGAGCTGGTGCCGGGACCAGGTGGTGTTTTCTTCTGCTGTGCGTGGGGTCACTAGAGTTGGAGATGACTTGATGGCACCTAACAACAGCAACATCTGATAACGAAATTCAAAAGATGAGATGAATCAAATAAAGAACTTAGGAACATAGAAACAGTAAAAGGAGTAGCTATAAACAGAATAAATCAATAAGTAAAAAAGAATAAAGAGTGGGAAATGATTACGAAGTTCATATTAAGTAGTAGTTGCATAGAAATAGCAAGCCAAGACTCACATACTATCTCTAATTGAAGTTACAAAAAAATGAATCCAGCATCTAATATTGTCCATAATTATCCTGAACTGTAGGAGGCATCTTTCAGAACTAAGATGCTGGGGGAAAAAATTCTTAAGTTCTGCATTTCTAGTTTCATGTTTTATTTATTCTGTTCAAGTAAAACAATATACCATATGAGCCCACTTTTATAAAAGTATATCTATGCCTATATGCATAAGAGATGTTTGTATAATACAGTTCATCAGATACTAATTTATTTCTGCTTGATGGACTTCTGTTTCATTTTTTTATACTTTCTTTGTACTTTCATATCCACTTATTCTTTCTTTAGAAAAAAAAAACTAAAATATTATGTATAAGAAAAAGTGACTTATTAAGCATGTAATTTTTTAATAAGCTTACCAATACATGTCATAATAACGTTAGAAGTGAAAACCACTTTTTTAGAGGGCAATTTGGCAATATGTAGCCACAACCTTAGAACCTTTATTCTTGTACCCAATAATCCCCAATTAGAGAAATTTCTTCTAAAAGAATAATTAAATATATACACAAAAAACTTTATCCTATCATTTTATATATATGAGAAAAACTGGAAACAAGAAGCAATGTCCAACTGCAGATGATTGAATAAATTAAAAAAAAAAAAAGTGCTATTAAACAAAACAAACCAAAAAACACCCCAGTGCCACTGACTTGATTCCAATGCATAGCAACCCTATAGGACAGAGTAGAACTGCCCTATGTTGTTGTTGTTGTTATGTGTGTCAAGTCGGACCCGACTCATAGCGACCCCTCCATGGGTTTCCAAGGCAGTAGTTTGAACCACCAGCCCTCTGGTTAGCACTCAAGTGCCTTAGGCACTAAGCTACCAGAGCTCCTGAACTGCCCTATAGGGCTTCCTATAGGCTTTCTCCTAAGGTTGTCAGTCTTAACGGGAGCAGACTGCCACAACTTCTCCCCATGGAGCAGGGGTGTGTTGAAACCACAGACCTTTCTTTAGGTTAGCAGCCAAGCACTTTAACCACTGTTGCAAATAATTATGTTACCATTGTTGGTAGGTGACATCGAGTTGGTTTTGACTCTTAGTGACCTTTTGTACAACAAAACACAACACTGCCTGGTCCTGCCTCATCATAACTGTTACCATGCTTGAGCCCATTGTTGGCAGCCACTATATCAATTCATCTCGTTGAGGGTCTCCCTCTTCGCTAACCCTCTACCCAATGTGATATCCTTCTCCAGGGACGGTCCCTTCTGACAACATAACCTAAGTATGTGAGACGAAGTCTGGCCATTCTGGATTTTAAGGAGCAGCCCGGTTGCACTTCCTCCAAGACAGATTTGTTTGTTCTAGCAGTCTGTGACATATTCAATATTCTTCAACACCACCACAATTCAAATGCATAAATTCTTCTGCAGTCTTCCTTAGTCACTCAGCTCTCACATGTGTAAGAGGCTATTAAAAATACTGTGGCTTGGGTCAGGTACATCTTAGTCTTCAAATGTGACATCTTTGGTCTTTGACACTTTAAAAAGGTCTTTTGCAGCAGATTTGCCCAATGCAGTATGTCCTTTGATTTCCTGACCTAGCTTCCATGGGTATTGATTGAAGATTCAAGTAAAATGAAATCCCTGACACTTCAATGTTTTCTCCATTTATCATGATGTTGCTTATGATCCAGTAAGGATTTTTGTTTTCTTTATGTTGAGGTGTAATCCATACTGAAGGTTGGCATCTTTGATCTTCATCAGTCCTCTTCACTTTCAGCAAGCAAGGTTATGCCATCTGCATATTACAGATTGTTAAATGAGTCTACCTCCAATTCTGATGGTGCATTCTTCATATTGTCCTGTTTCTTGGATTATTTACTCAGCATATAGATTAAGTATGGTGAACAGATACAACCCTGACGCACATCTTTCCCAATTTTAAATCATGCAGTCTCCCCTTATTCTGTTTGAACAACTGCCTCTTGGTATATGTACAGGTTCCTCATGAGCACAATTAAGTGTTCTGCAATTCCCATTCTTTACAATGTTATCCATAACTTCTTACGATCCACACAGATGAATGCCTTTGCACAGTCAATAAAGCATAGGTAACCATCTTTCTGGTATTCTTTGCTTTCAGCTAAGATCCATCTGACATCATATATATAATTATATAATACATCATTAATACCATATTTTAAATAATCTTCAACAGAAAAGAAAAATACCAATTTCTCCATATCATTAAACATAGAAATCAGATTTAAAAAAACAAATGATCTCGTGTATGTGTGCATGAGTTCACTCTCTGCAATTCTACAACATATTATTTTTCATAAAAAATTAACTACTTTTAAAATGAAGCTACTACTTCATAAATTATAAATCAAGATTATTTTATTTTTCAACTTTGAACTGCTCTGCCAGTTATTGAATATTGGCAACTGCTGAAGGAGGGGCAACAGAGATGCTGAAATTAGCATATATGGTATCATAATCATATCATGTAAGTACAACCTAGGTTACTAGGGATTATCTCCCCATTAATGATTTGTAGGGAAAATCACTTTTGCCAGAGGATAGACTGCCTGCCATCAGAGAGGAAGGCTGAGCTAGGGCATTCTTGTTGCAGGTTTGTTTTTTGGTTTCTAAGTAACTATTACAAATATATACAAAAATAAAACAGTAAAATTAACACCTCTGTACTAACCTAGAATAATTATTCTCTAAGAGCTGAAAATGGTACCACATTTTTAAATTTAAAATAAAATCTCTAATGTTCCAAATTATATTTTAATAAAAACACAAGTTGGATCAGGTATCTCATTAACAAAACAAATAAGCTAATAACTCTAATAATTAGTAGGATCCTAAGGGATACTAAAGTTATACTGCTTTAATATGAAAACTAATAGTAAACATACCTGATCTTAACATTTCCAATAAATCCTTTTGGGGTTGGTTGTAACTATGGCAAGGAAAACCCTCAACTTCCTCCAATAGCCTTCAGGCATCATCCCTGTTAGAAATATGGCAGGAGCCCAGGTACTCTAACATATACCCCAAGAAGCAGGACAAAGATAGTACAATCACTATCTTTATCTACTTATTCTGTACATTTCCAAATACATCTACGGCATCATTTAGCCTAAATCCCTGGCACCTCTTTGTAATTAACAGGTATTACCTCATCTTATTGTATAACATCAAAATCAGCTTTTAAAAAAATCTGCAACCAACAAAACAAGTCTGAATTCCAACCCTTCTATAATTACTGACTGTACAAGCATTATTGGTAACCACTTAACATCCTTGCAAATTTGTTTTCTTTGTGGTAGTATAGGATTCAGAATGGACAGAGCCCCTGGTACACATAGTAAGTCCTTAATAAATAGGAATTATCTTCCTTCCGCTCTATTGGCATTAGCGTCAGTGTTTAAAAGCTCTACTTCAACAGACTTTTGTTTTGATTATCTCTTCAACATGTAAGTGTGCTACCTTCAGGAGTCACTTCACTGTTTTGCCCCTTAATTTTCTCAGTGATAAAATAGAGAAAGCATTTGCTCCTTTTAACTTCATGTGGTTGGTGTGACAATCCAGTAAAATTAAACACATGAAAAGATCCTTGGATCTCTAAAACTAAGTCTATGATTTAGAATACTTACATTCACTGAGAATGAAGCCAATCTCTGAATTGACACATTATATTGCCACCACCTAAACAACCAGATTGTTTAGGAGCTCTGGTCCGACTCGACGGCACATAACAACAACAAACAACCAGATAAATTAACCAAATTTAACTCTCGTCAGAAAGATTACCTTAAAACATAATTACTTCCAATACAGACAAACACTTCCCGCTCAAGTTTGAATATTTTCACTATGCAAGTATGTAAAAGAAAAAGAAAATCTGGATCTTTGTGTTGTAGTTTTATTTTATTTTTTTATGTTTTAAAAAGTTTTTGGCACTACAAGGTTCTGTAAAGAATAGAAGTGACAAATTTAAAACACATGAAATTCTCCCCTAATTCTTAAGAACAATATACTATATAAAGTCTGAAGCAACCAAAGTATGAATACAGCTAATAGAAAATAAAGAATGTAATTTTTTAAATTCTCTCTTTATACAATTCATCAAGGTTAAACAAAACATAAAATTCCCTTAAAAATAGGGTAATAAAATAGATGAAATTTGTATCACTCAATTTGGTGATACTGGTAAAAACTATAGTTCATATTTATATACAAATAATACAGTCTTTAAAAACAGTCTTAGAATTTAAATAATCTATCTAAACGTGTTAAAATTTTAAATCAGGACCTGATTTGTTTTGCTTTCCATTAAATGTCACTTTTTCTGCTGAATGTAACTGACACTGAGGTACGGATACCCTTGAGACAGCAGGATTGGCTGGTTGCTGTGCATCGGTAGACCAGCTGAAAGAAAATGGACTCGCATTACTCCGACACGTTTCCTCTCGGTGGGTGGGGACAACGCTCTCTACATCGACGGTTGGCACATCTGTCTGTTGGATACAACACAGACAGGAAACTGAAAGGCTTGTGCCTGTTTATCTGACAACCCCTTAGAATTAACTTGTAGCTAGTTCTTTTATTTCCATATTTGTAGTGAGAAGAGATGAAGCATGTCAAAAAACTTTGGTGGGGGATGGGGAGAGGAGGGAAAAGGGAGAGAGATGTGGGAACATGAAAGGAGAGAAGAGATAAGATGGAGGAGAAGGAATCAAGGGGAAGAAACTTTCCAGAGAAGAACTTTAGGCTCTCTCCCTAGTAAAGGGTTTATATAGCCAATAATCTCTTTCCTGAACCTTAATTCTTTCCTCAAAAGAAACCAACCACAGTCAAGGTTCTGCCACTCTTTATAATAGAAGGCTGTCCCAGTGGTATATGGATAGTTCAGGGAAACTTTAATGTAGGAAGCCTGACAACTTTTTTCAGGTGCCTGAACAACTTCCCTTTAAAGTATTGTTGCATTCAGTCAACATTTCCTGAGTAGCATTCTCTAATTTCTTAAACTCTTAGTTTAATTGTGATGACTCTGGCTCTACTTTCTTTAACTCCCAGGTTAACTGAGAGGTGATGGCCAGTTACAGACAATCGCTATTAGCACTGAGGTACATCTGAGTCAAGTTGGCTACATAAGATGCTGGAAGTTCCTTGGAATTCTCTTTAATTTGTAATATTCATTACCTAGCCATTACTGGCACTACATCAGTATATAATGAATTCTAATGTCATTCCAGTCCTAGCTTTTATAAATCTGACCATGTAATATTTTATTCAAAAACTTTTATTAGATCCATACTGCTTACTAAATAAAGCCCTCTCTCATAATATGGCCTCAGCCTACCCTCATCATCTACACATCTCTTCTATATACCTCATGCTTTAGTGTTATTTTCTCTTCTTTCTTCATTATGCCAGGCAAAACTCAATAATTGCATATATTATTCCCTCAACTAAGAACCCCCTCCCCCTAATCTCCAGGAAATCTATAGAAAATGTTTTTCAAGATCTAGTTCAAATGTCAAAAGCTGTGAATTGATTTCTGGTATCCACAGTCTACCTCATTGACTCCCTCTACTAGGGCAAAGTTAACCGATCCCTCTAAGGTCCTATCCTTGCCTATTTACATGTCTGGCTCTCCTAATAAAATGCCCATTAATTGAGTGTGGGAATATTGTTTTATTTATGTTGAACAAGTCTGACATATATAGAGCGTATGCACTCAATATATGCTTATTCAGTGCATTGATTTTAATGCCCATATCCTGGCCTTTACTGAAGTTCCCTATCCCAGAAAAAAACCCACCCAGCCTGTAAACTAATTTGTGAGTAATGGTACCTTGAGTATAGAAAGGTTTGTTGGGCTGAAATCTGGCATTTCCCTGATGCATGAAGTTTTGATGCAAACCATAAGGCCACGAAGCTGGGACAAGGGGGAAATGGGGACGTGGTGCATGTTCCCAAGGAATTGGAGGATTTAGTCCTGGAAAGCCTGGCTCTGCGTTTCAAGGAAAAAGGAGAAAGACATTTTAAAACATCAGTTTGTCCATTCACACATTCTTTTCTTTCACAAAGATTTATTTAGTACCTACCATTAACCAACATCTATGCTAAATGCAAGACAATTTTATAAAGAATCTAACACCATAATCGTGCTCAAAATACTCATAAGAGAGATATCCAAGTAAGAAGACAGGTACAATAATATATGATAATTGGTATAGCAGAGGTACATAGAAGGTGTTCTGAAGAGGAGTTAATCCAGTCTTTTAAAAGTTAGAGGAAGTTTTCCTAAGATGATCGACTAAGCTCAATTTGAAGAACAAGGAACAACTTAGGAAAAATGGGAAGGAAGGGCATTTTAAAAAGAAGGAAAACCATGTACAAAAGCCTGGAAACATGAAAACAAGTTCAAGAACTATAAAACAGTCTGTGTAACAGAGATAGCAGTAAAAGGAGGAAATGGTGAGAGAAAAAAGCTGGACACATAGGTGGGATCTATATTTCAAAGAAACTTAGTCCGTCATGCTAAGGGGCTTACATTTTATCCCAAAGACATGGCTTACTACCCTAGAATCAATTATATGTTGGCGTGGAAGGTCATTCTATTAGGAGTTTCAGGCACTGTGGTCCAATGGTTGAGAACTTGGGCTTTGAAACCAAATAAGTCTAAGTTCAAATCCCAGTTCCAAAGATAACTAAGGTACAATTTTGAACCCCAGATTATTATGAGGATTAAATTAGATATAAATAAAATGGTTGACACAGTTCTGGCAAGTAAAGGTAGGAACTCAAAGAGTATGATCCTATTTATACCAATCATGCCCTCAAATCTCTCTCCCTTTAAGTACATCTTTTAAAGTACAATGCTCCCTGCATTTTCTGATTGTTTCTGGTGGCTTCTTACATGCAGGATCACAATGTGCTAGGGAATCATCTGAAAGACACTACTTTTTTCCACTAAACTACCTAGCAGGAACTCAACAACAGAGGAGGAGATGGGTAAGAGTAAGAAGCAAGGAAACCAAAATCCATACCAGTCACATTATAACCTCCGTTTCTCAGAAGGTAACCCAGAAACAAAACAGCTGCCTTAGTATCTGGTTTACTGCCACGTTTGTAAAGCCAGGTTACAAACAGGAGCTGAGCTGAAGGGCTCCAGGTTTACAAACTAAGAAAGATTCAGTATACACATTTAAGTCATGATCAATTGAGATAAGAGAGCTCTGGTAGCGTAGTGGCTAAGGCACTTGACTGCTAACCAAAATGCTGGCAGTTTAAACCCACCAGCCACTCCTTGGAAGGAAGATGGGGAAATCTACTTCCGTAGTGATACTGCCTCAGAAATCCAAGGAGGGGTCACTATGAGTCGGGTCCAACTCAATGACACATAACAACAACAACGATTGAGATAAAAAGCTGTCTTATTAACAAAAAGGTATTTTTTAGGATACATTCCACTTTTCACAACCAAATACTTTAGTAATATAACTCCAAAAAGGATAATTTAAAAAATAGGGTGGGGAAGAACATGCACAATCTCCTATTCTAACATGTCACTATTATCATTTTAATGTATTGCCATCACGCCATTCATTTTTAACATAACAAAACAGTTATACTATCAGCTTTAGGGTATTATTTAAATAATAGTTATTTTAGCTATCACATTAATTAAGATTTGTGCATTCATCCAACAAATAACAAATATTTACTGAATAATAATTTATTTTACAGTATGAATAACGTATCTACATATTGTTAGGCCGAAGCAAACCCAAGCTACCAACATTTCAGTTAGCAGCTTCCTCCGGGTGTCAGACCCTGATGAGACAGCCTGATAAGAAACCGAAGTGACAGAACACACCCAGACTGGAAAAGTCCCATGCAGTGGCAAACTTCCTCTTTTGAAGCCCCCTCATGCTAATTAAGTACAGACCCATGCTAACAGCTAATTGGACCCTGCCATTTCCTTAGAGGACCCTGTCATTTCCCTGGTGTCCCCAAATAGGTCCTCTCTGTGTCTATAAAAATCCATGCCCCCTGCCTGAGGGTGCGACTTCTCGGGCCCCTCTCAGGGACCTGTAAACCTCGCCCGGGCCCCTCTGGGGGACCCGTAAACCTCACCCGGAAACTCAGACTAAAAACTTCTCTTTAACCTCACTTTTGTGCATCCTTTTCTCCTTACTGTGACCTCACACATATGTCAGGACACTATTACTGGATAGTAAAGACAACGACAGATAAGGCACAATTTTTAGCCTCTAGAAGTTCATTCTGGTGGATTATGCAGACAAACAAATTCAATATAGTAAGACAAGTGGTATGCTATGGATATTATTGAAACATGGAGGAAAGAAAGGATACCTAATACAATTGGAGGACAAGATCAGTAAGGATTAATAAAGGACTCCTAAAGAAAGTGATCTAAATTAAACAGTGGAGAAGTGAGTTAGCCAATCTTTGGGACAAGGAAGGAGTTGAAAATGAGCAGGAAAGGTTAATGCAGAAGACATTCCAGGCAGAAGGAACAGCCTGGACAAACAACTATAACTACTACTACTCCTTCGCTGACATGGATAGGTTCCAAAGAAAAGGTCATTATGTGAAAATCAGCAGTATGTGAAAATGGATGATGATCACATAGTTTACAAAATGGATGATTACATCATTACCTAACTTCCAAATTATATCATTACCTAACTTTCACATGGGAGCTCTGATAGCGTAGTGCCTAAGACACTTGACTGCTAATCAGAAGGCTGGTGGTTCAAACCCACCAGCCACTCCTCGGAAGGAAGATGGTGCAATCTACTTCCGTAGTGATACTGCCTCGGAAACCCAAGGAGGGGTCGCTATGAGTCGGGTCCGACTCGACGGCACATAACAACAACAACAACTTCCACATTTCATCATTATATAACTGCCAAATTACATCATTATGTAGCTGCCAAACCACTAAGAATCACGGCTCAGCTGGGGTGGATTATCCAATAAGCAAGGTAAGCACAGGCTTAACTACTGCTTACTTACTAATCTGTAATCCATGTGAAATTGTTCACTACAGATTAGTAAGTAAACAGAAGTAAGCCCATGCTTACCTTGCTTACTGGTCAATCTGACACTGTGGCTCAGCCAAGTAGACACATAACCTTAACCATCACAGCCAACATTACTCTTGCATCACACCTTGGCATTTGTTTCTGCCAGATGTAAGCCCTTAATGCACAAAACAGCAGATTTTTAATTTGGCCATTAACGCAGAATGTCAGATAATGAGATAGTTGATAAGTGAGGAGTAGGTATTAAGAGCCAGCATGATGTGTGTTTGTAGGATATTAATTGGTTGATTATGGCTGAAACACAGACATCAGTAAGTAGCAGAGGGAGGGGAGATTTAAAACTAAAAACTGAGCCAAGATATCAAAGGGTGGGTACACAGAAACTGTGTTTATCTTCATCATTACATAACTCAGTGACTATCATGGTACATGCATGTCATACATTCAAAAAACATTTGTTGAGTGAGATAAGCAGAGACCACATTAAGACAACCACATATGCCATACATCCTTTGATTGTGGAAATCTAAATAGAATCCCCATTCTAGCATTTCAGTTTCACAAAATTCATTATCTGCATTGTTCCAAAAGAGGTCAGAGGAACCTCCTGTCTCACTGGTGTTCTACAGAACAGTGTACTTTTGTTCAAAATTATCACTCAACTCATTATTTCAAAAATGATAAAGTTTTTATTCTACATTTCAGAGTAACTATAACAGTTATGTTAACAGTTAACTTGGCTAGCCTCCAAAACTGAGAAAATAAATTCGTTTTTTAAGCCACCTACTTGTGGTATTTGTTATAGAAGCCCTAAGAAACTGAGAGAAAAACTAAGTAGTTAATAAGGAAAGGTTCTTCATTATACAAGATTACCAATAATAATTAAAAATCACCATTTTAAGACCTCTAATGAAACGAATCTAGACAACAATTATCAATGGTAACACTGACCACTAAGTGAAAATTAATGAAGAAATTTATAATGGATGGACAGAATAGGCTAATATTACCTGAATTCACTGATCAATCTTAAAGTCACTAAGAAGGAAAAACCAGATATCAAGTTCCTTCTGAAGTGAGGAAATAGAAAATATATAGCACCAACTAAGATATATTCTTGCAAAAAGGAAAGAAGAGAATCTGAATCTAACTGATCCTCTACCTCCACCTACCAGTTTATAGGTAACAGGGGACAGAGGTATTATATATAACCAGCCAACTCTAGAAGGCGGGAAATTCTACAGGATTACTAGCCTAGTTTCTTCAATAAATACTTTGTATGGGGGGAAAAATACTGAAGGAGAACTTTTATAAATTAAAAAGAACTTAAGAGATATTAACAACCATATGTGATATATGTACTTTGAATCCTAATTCAAATATATCAATAAGAATATTATTCTTCAGAGAAAATGGAAAGCTTGAATAAAAACAAAGTATTTGATGACACTGGGTATTGTGATTTCTTCTTAACAGATATAAACTGAAGTTTACAAACAAATTTGATACAATGTCTAGGATGTGATTAAATACTCAAGAAAAAATTATTAAAAAATGGGAGGGGGTACCAACTAAAAGAATAGCATATATTGATTAACTATGAAAGCTGAATAATGGGTACATCTGGGTTCATTATACTTTATTCTCTCCTTTTTGGTATGTTTTTAAAATTTCCATTATAAAGCGTTTATAAATAAAAATATAGAAATCATCACTAAGAAGCTAGGTATAAAATTAGATTTACAGTATATATCAACTATTTCTAAAATGTACAAATATATAAAAAATAATGATTGGATGGTAAGATACCCAAAACATTACTTACTAATTATCACAAGGAATTGAGATTATGGATGATTTCTCCGCACCCTCAAATGCTCTATAAAAAACATATAATTGCTTATATAATCAGGAAAAAAGGACAGAAAGGTAGAAAAGGGAAGAAAGAGTTACCTGAATTCCCAACTGCACTGTTGTTCACCAGGGAATTCGGAGCCACAGTACGAGGCCAGTGTCCATCATGAGAGGAGCTAGGGATCGCCACGGGTCTGGCAGCAGGTTGTGCAAAGATGATGCTGGGATCATTCAGGCTAATATTGCTGGGGGCACTGCCTGGTGCAGAGTGGATCACTGGGCCATGAATGGGCCAAGATGGGGCAGGGATTTGGAGCGGATGCATTGGCAATAATCCCATATTGTGCATGGGAGAATACTGAGCTGGTGGTGACTGAGGAAAGTTAAACATAGGCATCTGGACCTGATGTGGAGGCTGGGCTCCCTGCTGAGGTGGGCCAAGGTTAGGTTGGGATCCTGTCTGTGATGGAGGCTGAGTAATAGCAGCTGACTGGGAAGAGTTCTGTGGAAATGGCTGAGGCTGAGGGGAATAAGATGGTGAATCAGACTGTAAGAAGAAAAGATATTAGTTTCAAATTAATAAACAAACATCTTAAATTTCATAAAAAAGAGATTACCAAATAAATAATTGCACATTTATCTCATTAGAATATTACAAACATAACTCTATATTGTGTATAATAACAACAACAAATTATCAGGGCCACAATCTATAGATACTGATAGAATGGGAGAAAAATGTGGAACAGAATCTCACATTAAAAAAAAAAAATCAGAACTGTTAGACTGGTTGAGACTAGAGGATTCCCTGAGATAGTCTTCAAAACTAACCCGAGAATAACCTTGTAACTAAATAACAAATTGGCTCAAAAAATAATGAATTATCACCCATAAGAACTATGCTCCTTGAAAAAAAAAAATCACCTATGTAAGACCAAATGATCAACAATTATTTTAAAACAAAGATGAGAATGTAAAGGTGCAAGCAAACTAGATTAATGGAAACAGAATAATGAGAACAAACACAGTAAGAACGTTTACACATTGTGAAGAATGTAACTATCATAACTGAAAAATGAGAACCTAAAGTGGTGTGTACTAAAAACACAATAAACTATTATTTGAAAAAAAGAAAGTCATAAAACTTCATTTTACATGAAGGTAGACCTTTTCCTAAGGTACTCAAACCATCTCTTAGATGAGATGGGCTTTTCCTCAAATACCTTTTTGTTACTCAAGGAAAAGCCCAGACAATATTACCATCCCATGGAATCCTTATTTCCAACTGTGAACTAGAAACTTACATCTAAATATCTCATAGTCACTTTAATTCAGTCCCTCAGCAAATATTTACTGAGTGTCAATTACATACTGGGCATTGTTGTAGGGGCTGAAAATACAGTATTAACATGCATGCTCTCATAAAGCCTGAAGTTTATGGGGGCCAAGAAGAAGAGCAGATAAAGATTACATAAGCAATATAAGTAAAGAATAATCATCACTGTAATAAATATGGGAGCTCTGGTGGCACAGTGCCTAAGGCACTTGACTGCTAACCAGAAGGCTGGCAGTTCAGACAAACCGGCCACTCCTCAGAAGCAAAACTGGGCAATCTACTTCCACAGAGATACCGCCTCAGAAACCCAAGGAGGCTTGAATTGAAACTCACTACTATGAGTCGAATCGAGTGGACAGCAGTGAGTTTTTTTCTTTAATAATAAATATAGTATAATGTAATGAAGTAACACAGGAGGGACACTTAGCCCACTTCAAAAGGAGGACAGCAGATAATATCAAGGAAAGTCTCCCAGAGGAAGTGATCTTCAAGCTGAGACTCAAGGGTAAATGGAAACCAACTGACAAGAGAGTGAGGATAAAGGGAAGAATTGTCCAGCAGAGGTAACAACATGACTAAAAGTCTATAGACACAGAAAAGTGGGTCTTTTTAAAGTACTGAGAATCTGGAAAATTTTTGGTATTACTGGATGGAGTACAAGGGTAGGGGAATGACAGACCTAAAGTTGAAGAGTTAAACAGGGAAAAGATAATGAATGTCTATAAGCCTCACAGGAGTTTAGACCTTATCGTGAGCTATGGAAAACCACTGAAGGGTTTAAAACAGGAAAAAGGGTCAAGAACACAATGAATATACATTTAAGAAAAAGTATTCTACCATAAAAAGAATGAAATACATAATAATAATAAATCACAATAAAGAATGATAAGACTCGTTGTTGTTGTTGTTGTTATGTGCCATCGAGTTGGCCTTGACTCATGGCAACCCCTCCTTGGGTTGCCGAGGCACTATCACTACGGAAGTAGATTGCCCAACCTTCCTTCCGAAGAGTGGCTGGTGGGTTTGAACCACCAGCCTTCTGATTAGCAGTCAAGTGCCTTAGGCATTATGCTACCAGAGCTCCCTAAGACTCGTTAGGAGGTTGCTATAATATAGTAGTTCTGACAGTTGCCTGGGGTAGAGAAATTCAATAGAGGACAGAAGGAAGCAAAAGAGCTAATTTTAAAAGGCAGAAACAACAGACACGATGTGGGTTGAGGGAGAAAGTCTGGAAACTAGAGACAGTGGTATTATTCACTGAGATGGAGAACAACGGACAAAGAGGGAAGTCTAAAGGTTGCAGAGAAATATGAGTTATATCACAGACATGTTGAGGTTGAGGTGCCTTGTTGCATAACTGAAAAAAGATATCCAGTAGACAAACTTACCCAAAAGCTCAGGTAAGAGAAAAGTGATAGCAGCATAGCAAAATGGTTAAGAGCATAGGTTTTAAAGTCAGAGAAGCCAAGAGTTCAAGTTCTGGTTTCACATTTTTGTGACCTCAAGCAAGAAACTGAAATCTCAGTATCTTCATCTGTAAAGTATATAGCCACCCACAAGTGAAAAGCAGGAAAATTGGAAGTTGTCAAAAATGAAATGGAATGCATAAAGGTTGATATCTAGGCATTAGTGAGCTGAAATGAAATGGGATATCATTGCTGATATCAGATGGATCTTAGCTGAAAGCAAAGAATACCAGAAAGATGTTTACTTATGTTTTATTGACTTTGCAAACACCTGTGATTGTGTAGATCATAACAAATTACAGATAACACTGAGAAGAATGAGAATTCCAGAACACTTGATTGTGCTCATGAGGAACCTGTGCATAGATCAGGAGGCTGTTGTTCAAACAGAACAAGGGGACGCTGCATAGTTCAAAATCAAGAAGGGAGTGCGTCAGGGTTGTACCTTTCACCATACTTATTCAATCTGTATGCTGAGCAAATAATCCAAGAAGCTGGATTATATGAAGAACGTGGCATCAGGATTGGAGGAAGACTCATTAACAACCTGCAATACATAGATGATACAACTTTGCTTTCTCAAAGTGAAGATGACTTGAAGCACTTACTGATGAATATTAAAGACTACAGTCTGGAGTATGGATTACACCTCAATATAAAGAAAACAAAAATCCCCACAACTGGTTCAATAAACAATTTCACTGTAGATGGAGAAAAGACTGAAGTTGTCAAGGACTTCATATTATGTGGTTCTACAATCAACACCAATGGAAGCAGCAGTCAAGACATCAGATGACACTGCATTGGGCAAATCTGCTGCAAAAGACCTCTTTCAAGTGATGAAGAGCAAAGATGTCTCATTGAAGACTAAGGTGTGCCTAACCCAAACCATGGTATTTTCCATCACTTCTTATGCATATGAGAGCTGGACAATGAATAAAGAAAACCAAAAAAGAGTTGATGCTTTTGAGTTGTCGTGTTAGAGAAGAATGCTAAGATGTACCATGGTCCGCTAAAAGGATTAACAAATTTCTCCTGGAAAATGTGCAGCCAGAATGCTCCTTGGAGCATCATCTCACCTACTTTGGTCATGTTGTCAGAAGGAACCATTCCCTGGAGAAGGATATCATGCTTGGTAAAGTAGAGGGCCAACAAAGAAGGTGAAGGCCCTCAACAAGATGGATAGACACAATAGCTACAATGTTGGGCTCAGGAATAGTAAGCATTGTGAGGCTGGCACAAGACGGGGCAGTGTTTCGTTCTGCTGTACATGGGGTCATTATGAGTCAGAGATGACTCGCTGGGCACCTAACAACAAAGTGTACAGACATTAACAGGACCTACCCCATAGGTGGTTATGAAGATTAACTAAAGAATGCATGTGGAAAATATAAACACCAAATTCAGGATTGTTGTTGTTGTTATGTGCCGTCGAGTCGGCCCCGACTCATAGCGACCCCTCCTTGGGTTTCCGAGGCAGTATCACTACGGAAGTAGGATTGCCCAACCTTCCTTCTGAGGAGTGGCTGGTGGGTTTGAACCGCCAGCCTTCTGGTTAGCAGTCAAGTGCTTTAGCCACTATGCTACCAGAGCTCCTAAATTCAGGATAGTAAATATATAAATACCCTGTACCTTGGGCACTATGCCACCAGAGCTCCCATAGTAACCTTATTAGGTAGTTATTATTTTACAAATGAGAAAGCAAGCTCATGAAAGTTAAGCAGCCTGACCACAGACATAAACTCAGATCTACCTTACTCCAATGTAATGTTTATTCAACCTTATATGCCTAGAAAATTTGCCTCTGCAAAGCATTATGCAATCTAGAGGATTATATTTATTTATAAGTCTGAGAGATAAACTCTTATCACTCACCAAAGATAGTGCTATTTTTGCATCAAGACTAACTCACTGACAGGTAGAGTACTTACACATTCTGAGGACTGTCTAGTCCTTATGGGCTGATCCCCCTGTTGCTGAGCTGAACCGGCCACCTGCTGGGCATTTACAAGGTTGCGGACCAGCTGGGCTGCTAAGAGAAGACATCCCAAAGAAAATTAACAGATGAAATAGCAGAGAAATGAAAATTAAAAAATTCTCTTCTTATGTAAGAGAGTCTCAAACCTGCAATTTTGTAAATTTGGATTTTTAACCTATGACTATAGGTTAATGAAGAATTTGTAACAACTAGAAACAAAAAGCCATTTGCAATCTTCTAAATCTATGTAAAAAGCACTGGTTTTAGAACTAAGATCCTATTACTTTTCCAAAGGAGACAACATATTAAAGAAAACACATTCTGCAAAAAGAATCTCAATAACTAGAAACCCCTACTTCCAAAATGATCTAATGTTTTTTCAATAAACTCTCATTTAAGAGTTTATTTTACAATCTGATTCTTAAAATTCCTATGAAATGCATCAAGAACAGGTATCACTCTCTCAAAACAGTAGTGGGAGGAACTATAATTTCTCATACATATCTCCCAGAAAAGAACCTCTAACAGGAATTTTAAACTTTAAGGACAAGAAAAATAGATAGTCTGGGTTGACTCAAATCCAAACAAGAAGTCGATTGATTACAATAGACTATTGAGACCCTAATGGGGAAAATACTTAAAAAAAAAAAAAACCCACAAAAAAACAGATGCTATTGAGTAGACTCTGACTCATGTAGATCCCATGTGTGTCAAAGTAGAATTATGCTGCATAGGTTTTTCAATAGCTGACTTTTTAACAGATCACCAGGCCTTTCTTCTGAGGTGTCTCTGGTGGACTCACACATTCAACCTTTCAGTTAGTAGCTGCGTGCACTGACTGATCACACCACCTAGGGACTCTGAACATATCCAAGTACTGTTCAAAGTAAGAGCCTCACTGCATAATTTTTATTTCTTTAAGAATTTATAAAGTCCAAAATCATACAACTAGGTTTGAGTAAAGAAATCAAGCCCTTGACATGAAATCAACACAAATGTCTTTATTCCCATTAGAAAATGTTTTGGACTTTTTCTATTTACCTGCCACACTGCTATTCCTCTGTCGGGCCAGCTTGACCTCTGGGCACTCCCTTCGTACATGTCCTGCATCTCCACATATAAAACATCTGAGGTCTCTGGGATCTCTATAGTCTCGAGTGTCGTGGCCATCTCGGAGGTCAAGAACATCTCGGGAGTCTTTATCTTCTTCATTCCCTTCCTTCTCTTCTTCACTGTCTTTCTTCTTTAGTCTAAACAGTAAACTGCTGATACCAATAATGTGGGGCTAGGGACTTATAAGCTGAATGAGTCACAGACTAAACTATACAGGAGTCACAATCACTAAGGCCTACTGTTTCATGCATCATGTTTTTAAAGGCAAACAAATTCACATTTATAGTATAAGTACTCCTACAGCAGAAATTGGGCATTCCAGTAGTTTTACAATATGATATCAAATTTTAAAAATATCTAATAAAGAATCTTAATTCTATTAAAAATCCTTAGAGGTTGGTATTTTTTACCTCCTTTTTACGGAGTATGAAGCTGAGAATCAGAGAAGTGTCTTGCATAAATGTATGTCAGTAAAATATCAGTGATGAAAACTTGGAGTAATTTGTCTGAAAAGTTACAAAGTCTTTATATTACGCCAGACTTGATTAAAGAAGAGATTTTCCTGCCCTATTAAACATAATATACAGAACCCAAGTGAAAGGTGCAATTATATTTCAGAGATATCTTTTGAGGGAGTGTGTAGGATGTAAATTTCTCCAGGTATATAGTACATAGGTGCACTTTATTTTATATTTTAATTAATGGTTTGCATGACTTTGAGGTCCTCTGCAAGAAACCTATGTCTTGCTCATCTTTTTTCCTTGCTTCCTAGCATAATTCCTGGTACATAGTTGTTGTTGTTGTTATGTGCCGTCGAGTCAGCCCCAACTCATAGCGACCCCTCCTTGGATTTCTGAGGCAGTATCACTACAGAAGTAGGATTGCCCAACCTTCCTTCTGAGGAGTGGCTGGTGGGTTTGAACCGTCAGCCTTCTGGTTAGCAGTCAAGTGCTTTAGCCACTATGCTACCAGAGCTCCAATAAATGTGTCTTCAATAAACACAAAACCTTGAATTAATTAATGAATAAATGAACAAATGAATAATATGAAATATCATTATAGCACAAATAAGTCTCAATCCATTATGAAATTCCACTCAAATGTACATTTACCTAAGGTCCAGTTTCTTAACTTTTTAATGTAAGCATTTCTGAACACAGTTATAGCTATAAATTGGCCAAGCATTTATTTTTCCTGTAATATTGATAAAGAATCATTTGCCAACCTTCTCCTCTTAGGGCAGTCTTTCATGTAGTGGCCTATTTTTCCACACACGCGGCAACATCGATCATTGGGAGCCAGTTCTCCATCGGTTAATACTCTGGAATCAAAGAAGTACTCCTAGAAAGAAAATGCAATTTTACTAGGCAAGAAATTTCTATAAAACTTTTGGAACCAAATGGAAAGGAAACCGAGCGGCTAAAGTAGTTAAAAACAAGGAAAGAAAGAAAAGAAATATCAAGAAATATTCCACTGTAACTAAAACGGATATAAAAAGTAAGATTCTGAACCATCAATATCATAGTTTCTAACAGTGCTAACCACTTTACATGCACATTCACTTTCTCATTCAATTCCTGTAACATCTCAATAAAGCAGATACTACTTTAATCCTAATTTTATAAATAAGGAAATTAAGGCTGAGAATTCAAATCAATTGCTCATAATTTAAAAAGCTAGTAACATGACAGATTTAGACCCATGTCTGACTACATAGCTCATGCTTTCTGCTACAACAGGCAACTTCTGCAATGCATTATTTTCTTTACAAAAAAGTTTCTCATGATCAGTCCTTTGGTTTATTTAAACTATGGTTTGATTTATATACAACTTTTATGAACACATAATAGCTATTACATAAACTAAGATGTACTTAAAGAGAAGGTAGAGAACAAATAAGTACAAATAATTTTTTCACATCTTAAAAGAACTACTCATTTTTGCTTTACCCTAGCTCCTTGCTTATTCTTCCAAACTTTAGCTCAGTTTTATACTGTCACAATGACTATTTGGTCCTAAATACTTCTAGAAGGCAAGAGAACATGTCTACTTAGGTCCCTACAAATTTATCTAAAGTCAAGGATAAAAGTATAAGAGACATGTCCTGTAAGATGGCAATAATCAAAAAGACAGGAAATAAGTTTTGGTGAGGATGTGAAGAAGCTGGAACCTACAAAGATTGCTGATAGGAACATAAAATGGTGCAGCCACTTTGGAAAAGTCTGGCAGGGCCTTGAAAAGTTAAACACAAATTTATCAGTATGACTCAGCAATTATACTACTAGATATAAACCCAAGAAAAATGAAAACATTATGTCCACACAAAGATGTGTATATAAATGGTCACAGCACCATTAATAATAATAACCAAAATGTGGAACAATCCAAATGTCCAACAATTGGTGAACACAAATATAATTCAGCCATAAAAAGGAATGAAGTTTTGACATATGCTACAAAAGAGATGACTTTGGCAACATTATGGTTAGTGAAAGAAGACAAACATAATAGGCCACACGTTGTATGAGTCCATTTACATGAAATATCCAGAGTAAGCAAATACATAAGAACAGTTAGTAGTTGTTCAAAGCTGGAGAAGGGAAAAAGGGAACAGAGATTGACATCTAATGGGTACAGAGTTTTCTCTGAGAGAGGATGAAAATGTGCTAAAATCAGATTGTGGTGACGGCTGTACAATCTAGTGTACTAAAAAACACTGAACTGTACACTTTAAATGAGTTAGTTATATGGTATATGAATTATATCTCAAAAAAGATGTTTTATCATAAAACAAGGGGAAGAGATATAATTCTTCACATTTATGCTGATGAACTTAATGTAGCTATTTAATATCTTCATCATCATATTTTCCACCAGGATGACATGAATCCATTTCTCAATTCACTCAGCTGCTTAAGAAAGAAACCTAGGCATCATCTCAAACTTGTTCTCCTTTACCCAGCACCTCCAGTCAATCACCAACTTCTAATCCATTCTACTCCCAAGTATCTCTTGAGCTTCTTTACTCCATCTGCCACTCCAGTTAAGATGGCCCAGACATGGAGTTGACAAAACTGCTCCATAAAAGCCACATAGTATTTTAGGTGTTGCAGTAAAATTGAAGATATTATACAGGTATTTATAAGAGAAAAAAGAAATTTCAATGAAAAATTTTATAGGAGAAATTAAAAATATGTTAATGATAATAACTGAGTTCACTATTTTTATAATACAAGCTCACTAAGAAAAGGAATAGGAGGAGCTCTGGTAGCGTAGTGCCTAAGGCACTTGACTGCTAACCAACTAGCAGTTCAAACCCACCAGTCACTCCTCAGAAGGAAGGTTGGGCAATCTACTTCTGTAGTGATACCACCTCGGAAACCCAAGGGAGGGATCGCTATGAGTCAAGTCTGACTCAATGGCACACAACAACAACAACAACAACAAGAGGAACAGAATTATTTTTGGGGAACACAACATTTAATTGGAGATTCAACGTTAGTGTTCCCTATCATTAAAATCAATTGCAAATGTTCATCTGTTCATGCTGATCTGTAAAAAAAAAAAAAAAAATTATGTATTTAATGTTTAAAAATGTTTTTCATAGATAAGAGCTTGAAAATTCATGGTAGAAAGAATATAAAGAAGGGGTATACAGAGTCTACAGTGGGACTAATCTTTGATAAATTTGATAAATCTTTGATAAAAAGGATCTGCAGATTCAAATGACATATTGCATTAGGCAAATCTGCTGCAAAAGACCTCCTGAAAGTGTTAAGGAGCAAAGATGGTACTTTGAAGACTAAGGTGTACCTGACCCGAGCCATGGTATTTTCAATAGCCTCATGTGCATGTGAGAGCTGGACAATGAATAAGGAAGACTGAAGAGATACATTAAAATTATAGTGTTGGTGAAAAATATTGAATATACCATGGACTTACAGAAGAATGAACAAATCTGTCCTAAAAGAAGTACAGCCAGAATGCTCCTAAGAGGCAAGGATGGTGAGACTTTGTCTCTCATACTTTGGTCACGTTCTCAGGAGGCATCAATCCCTGGAGAAGGACATCATGCTTGGTAAAGTAGAGTCAGTGAAAGAGAGGAAGACTCTCAATGACATGGATTGACACAGTGGTTATGACAATGGGCTCAGACGTAACAATGACTGTGAGGATGGCGAAGGACCAAGCAGTGTTTTTTCTGTTGTACGTGAGGTCACTATGAATAAGAATTGCCTCAACAGCACCTAAGAACAACATCTGCATATTTAGGCAGATTAATAGATCTAGCAGCAGCAAGTGGAAGGAATGCTTAACATACAGCATTTATTATCTCAGAAGGAAAATCACCTAGGAAGAGTGGAAAATATAAAAGTGAAAAGGGGGATAAAGTACAGGGGATATTGAATTCTGAATAAAATAAATAAAGTATGAAATAGATCTTATAAAATGGGACACAAAGGTAACTAAAGAAATGTAGTAAGATTATAAAACATTATTGCAAGTCCAGTTGAAACTGGTAAATACTAACTTAAGAGTTGTACTGTATAGTTAAAACTATCAGCTTTATACCTTTTTTTCATTAGAGCTTAGCTGCTCAAATACAGGCAGATGGTGGTCAAAGGAATTTAAAACGTATGTCAGAGAGTAGACCAGGGAACCTAAGTTAATTGGGAGGAAATGTGTCAGTATATCAAAGGACATACTGATGTAGAATAGTTGAAGTGAGGCATGAGCAAGAAAGATGATAAAGTAGAAAATGTACTAGTTTTCATCCTCCACTACATTCTAAGAGAATGAAACACATCTGTATTGTATGCAACATAAGATCCCAGGGGCTCACCAAGAAATGGGAGCAACATAAGATTTAAATAAGCATTTATTGAAAGAATAAACTTTACTGTGGAAAATATAAATATCAAAGACTATGTACAAGATCTTCTACAGTATCAATTCTAACAATGATAAAAAGAAAACAACTTAAATATTCATCAAAAAAGAACAATCATATAAACAAGAATATCCAATATTACAGTCAAACTTCATTAGTCACGGATTCCTTATCTGCGTTATTTGCCTACTCACTAAATTTTATTTGTAACCCCAAAATCAATACTTCTGGCACTTACTGATCATTCACAGACACATGCAGAACAGTGAAAAACTTGAGTCACCAGCCTATCTAATTCCAGCTGAGGTCTAATAAGACAACTCTCAACCTTCTTACTGAAGTGCTCATGTTGTAAAAACTGTCCTTTTTGCAGTCTATTTAGTGCCACGTTTTTGGTTTTTCTGGTTTTTTTTTTTTTTTTTGGGCATATATGTGCTTTTTGTATGTATGTGATTTCACTGTTCAAAATGGCCACTAAATGTAGTGCTGACATGTTGTCTAGTGTTAAGGATAAAAAGGCTATGATGTGCATCTTTAAAAGGTGCACTAGATAAGTTTCATTCAAGTATAGTGATGTTGCTCATGAGTTCAATGTTAATGAATCAACAATAAATACTAAATAAAGTGTCTTTAAACAGAAACACATACAAAACAAGATTATGTATTAATCAGTACATGAAAATGCTGTGACAAGAGGCTTGTAGGAATCTAACCCGATATTTACCCTAGGAGAAATGGTTTAGTTTTTGCTGTCCCAATGTTCACAGCCAACTTTATAGACCATAACTCTGCAAATAACAAGAATTAACTATGATATATATTGTTGCTGTTATGTGCCATGGAGTTGTCTCCAACTCACAGCGACCCTGTGTACAACAGAACGAAACACTGCTTGGTCCTGTGCCAGCCCCATGATCCCTACTACACCAACTATGATATATATTGACTATATATATATTAAAAAAAAAATAAACTATGATATATATTGACTATAAAAAGAAGACTCTTAAAAAAGAATAAAATAGGTCAAGATACTGATTAGCAGGGTCATAGGTACCTTTTGACAGGTCCCAAACTGAAGTTTGGTTTTTATACCAAATGACATTAAAATCTAAAGAATTTGATATCAATATACAATTGAGGGCTACTTATTAAAATACTGAGTTATAAAGTGTTCCTAATATTTTATATTCATAAACTAAAAGTAGCACATTTCTAGCTTACTGAGGACTAATTTAGTACTCTTTTAAGAAGCATAACTGCATGTAACACTAGTATGTTCTTACTGAACATATACTCATATATACACAAATAGTTGGGATTCCTACAATTTTCAGATAAAATATATTAACAATGCCTTGTCAGATTTGTTTTGATTAGATTTTTTTAAATTATTAATTAATATGTTAGTAAAATTATTAATGGCTTTCTTTTTGTTAGTCATTTTGTT